AGATTTACATGATGTAATTGTTGATTCAAAGAAGGTTGTTCTCTTTGAATGTGAAGAGCTTCTTTTATCTTGAGTTGGAAACTCGTAGAGGGGTGATCTAAGATATGGAAACAATCTACTGAACACAAGGTGCGACAATGTTCAGAATTCTGTAGATGTTTGAAAGCGTGAGAGGCCCTATCACTGACTAAGTGCTCACGCACACGTGTGGAAAAATGAAATAAACAACTCAGAACATGATGCCATTATATTTTTCGACTACATCAACTCTAGACACCCCAACATTACGTTTACTATGGAGAAAGAAGCTCATCATCAATTACTTTTTTAAATGTTCTAGTTGACAACAATAACCCCAATTCTTTTCTAACTCAAGTTTACCGTAAGAAAACCTTTACTGGTTTATTAACTAATTATTTCAGTTTCACTTCGTACTCCTACAAAGTGAGTCTCATCCCCTCTACTAACTATGTGTAAATCTAAAGCTATCCTTATAATTTTCACATTGTCACGGTTTCTGTTGTTACTAGCTTAATTAGCATGTACTTATAAATTCAACTTGTAACGCTTTGTTAATCAACTGAAGATAACAGAGGTTTCTGTCGAAACATGTCTTTTAAACTCGAAAGTTTTGTCGTTTTCTTCAAATTAAATTTCTGACTTGCCTGCTGACATCAACATCGTTTGGAAACAATTTAATGTAATTAGAAAGAATCCAAGTCCCATCTGGGACTTGCAATAAAATAAGTTAATTAAAACTTACCTAATTATATGGCCAAACTCTTTACAATTTTCTGACAATCCTTATTTGTCCAGTTCAAAGTGAGTACGATGAAACTCACTTTCCCTCCTTTTAAAGAAAAATTGTACAGTTAATGTGGTGGTTTTCGTTCGCTGCACAACTTCAATCGTGTATAGCAAAAAAAGGTCGATTTGGTTTTGTTTAGTTTTTCCTCTGGTTCTGTATTTAATACTCTATTACAAACTCGCTTGACCTAATATTCCCTATCGAAGCACACCCCGATAAAGTAAATAAATATTGTAAAAAATTCAGTTGATGATAACATTAATCTTATCGGAAATAGATTCGATCTATTTGACCAGATGTGGGGCTCCGGTATAGTGATCACGACAATCAAGTATTACTCTATGGTCAGGTTTGTCAATTATGTACTGTCCCTAGGCAAAAGAGTCGGTTGTATTAGGCGCAGAAGTGGAACTGTCGTTAGTAAGTGGGAAAGGCCGTGATTAGACGGTTATCCCTCGTATCTACTATCACTGTTACCCCGTAGCATGGCTTGCTACTTCTACCATGCACTCCTGTTTGGAAAGGAAACCTCTTCTTGAATACTTTCTTAAACTTAGCACCCTCATGGGGGTCTGTACTATCCGGATTTGAAGTGGATTGGTTTACTATGTCGGAGATATATTTCTCATCTTGTGATAGGAAATAACTCCTCCCAGTTTTGACTGGTTGAACGTGGCGACTAATAACATGCTCCATCTTCGCGCCCATTTTTCACTAGGAGGGTAAGAAGTTTATATATACCTCACCTGAAACTCCGCCTTCCTAATGGTACAACTACTTAGGCTGTGAAGCCCTAAACGCATGGGCATTGCATGCAGAACAACATTTTTGGAGCCACGATTCTGTTGGTCAGCGACATCTAATTGAGTTTCAATCGAGCACTCCCGCAAGTGGTAGACTGATACGTCAATATTCCATCAAGCTCAAGTCAAGGCTCGAAGTCACTTGTTGAAGGATTTATCTTGAAGCTTTCTGAAGTCTTCCGCGATAAATTTA